CCATGTCCCCATGTGTCTCTGTGTCCCCATGTGTCCCCGTGTCCCCATCCCTGTCCCATCCCTGTTCCCTCCCTGTCCCCCTCCCTGTCCCCTCCCTGTCCCCTCCCTGTCCCCACCTTGTCCAGGTAAATGACGACGTTGCTCCTCTCTGACTGTGCCTGGTCAAGCTCGAACTTGGAGATGTACCTGTCCACCCCCTCCGAGAGCTGGGGACAGGGACACCGTCACACCGGGGACACACAGGGACACACGGGGACAGGGAGGGAACAGGGATGGGACAGGGATGGGGACAGGGATGGGACAGGGAGGGAACAGAGATGGGGATGTGACGGGACAGGGGTGGGAAAAGGGACAAGATGGGACAGGGATGGGGACATGACAGGACATGTCCCTGTGTCCCCACGTCCTCATTTCCCCGTGTCCTCATATCCCTGTGTCCCCATGTCCCCATGTGTCTCTGTGTCCCCATGTGTCCCCGTGTCCCCAGATCTCCCACCGGGCCGAGGAGTGTTTTGCCTTCAAGGCCCACCAGCGGTTCCAGGTTGGGCTCATCCAGCCCGCGGCCGTCACCGTCTACAGCTACTACAAGATCGGTGTGTCCCCTGTCCCCCCGGGTCCCCCCGGGCCACCCTCGGGTCCCCCCGTCCCCCGATGTCCCTCGGGCCACCCTCAGGTCCCCCCTTGTCCCCTCATGTCCCCCGGTGTCCCCACAGACGACCGGTGCACGCGGTTCTACCACCCGGACAAGGAGGGCGGGAAGCTGAGCAAGATCTGCCAGGGGGACGTGTGTCGCTGCGCCGAAGGTGACACGGGGACAGGGGGACAGAGGGACACGGGGGTGGGATGGGACAGCAGCGCTGTGGTGATGGGACATGTCATGGGGACACGGCATTGACAAGGTGTCACATGTCACGGCTGTGATGGGGCAGGTCATGGCTGTGATGGGGACATGTCCCTGCCGTGGTGGGACACGGCATTGACAAGGTGTCACATGTCACAGCTGTGATGGGGACACATCCCTGCCATGGTGGGACACGGCATTGACAAGGTGTCACATGTCACAGCTGTGATG